TTGCAGTCCATCACGATCCCGGAAAATATGTCAATACGATCCCTCCACTCAACCGGCGGCCAGGAACAACCGGCCGACGCCACCCGCGACTCTACACGTACCGCCGATAGTACTGACATGAGCACGGCCAAAGAATGGTTCAAGGCCGTGCTCAAGATTCAACACTCGTCCATTGTTCAAGCACAGGAGGATCGTCGACAGGCTCTAGAGGATCGCCGAGCGGATCGTCAAGTGTTTCTTGCGGCACATCAAGCTAGCGCAACCCGTATCGCTCGCCTAGAAGACTTACTCCTGGCAATGAATCTCAAGAATGAAGTCACCGGCCGCCCTGCACAACCAACACCAGGCCGGGTTGATCTTCAAAAATTTTGTACATCAGACGGACCCACGTATCGCGGACCCTTCCAAGAAACTGAATCGTTTCTGAGGTGGATACATGGTGTCCAGATCTTCTTTGAGACGAAAGACGTCTCTAACGCGGCCGACAAGATTAAAATACTCGGCAACCTCATCGCGGAAACCAATTTGCAGTCGTTCTACGCAAACAAAGCGGCGGGGTTCCTCACGAGATCGTGGGACGAGTTCAAGACTCGAATGTTTGACTTCACGCTTCCCACCAACTGGCGCTCGGGACTACAACGCCAGGTTCGCAAACTAGAAATGACATCGACCGAGACGTTCCTTGAATACAGCACGAGAGCTCGCACGTTGCAGAGTCTCTTCAACTTTGATGCTGAAAAAACCTCCAAACTTGGCGATCTCCAACTAGCGCAATTTGTTGTTTACGGTCTGGCCGACGCACTACAAGATCGAATATATGAGAGGCAGCTCCTAGAAGTTGCTCCTTTCAATTACGGCCCCTTTGAGAAACAAGCTAACGTGTCCTTCCTTGCGTTACAACGTCCCACCGAATTGCCACCGCTGGCCAAATCGACCCCCAACCCGCCGCCGACACTAGGCCGTAACGAATTCATATGACGAGTCCACGCGTACCTCAACTCGCAGGGACTTTGCCATTTCTGCAAGAAACACTGCGGCAACGCCGCAGGAGCCTGCCCCGGCCCAATAGACCGCTCACACATCAATATCCCTGTTGCTTTCCAAACACCAACCAAACCTCCCGATTACGTGGCCCCCCGTGCCTGGAGTAAACCAACTGCCGGTCCCGGACGATCATCTCAACCTCCCGCCGGTCGGCCTCCAATTCGTGCTGCCAGCGTGGCAGGCATTGCAGAAATGACACCGCTTGAAGCTCAGGTTGCCGGGTTGACTCTCGATGCAGCTATCAGAGAAGACGCACGTCTCGACCACGAATTTGATGACAAAGGCTGTTTCCCAGCCCTGGGTACTGCCGCCGTGGCTGCTCTCGAGGACCTCGACACCCAACTTTTGCAAAATGAAATCGATCGTGCTACCGAAGCTTCTAGCAGTTGGACGGGAAACTTGGCAGATGACATTGCGGGTTATTGAGTAAAACGCGGCGTTTAGGATTTGCCTCGATTCTTTATTTCCTCCTTTTTGTTTCCTTTTTTTCTTTCCTTTCTTCAATTTTTTTATAGGAGGGGAGACTGTAAAACCCCTCCCCCGCTGGGTTTCACAAGAGTGTCACAGATAAGATTCCTTGTAATTATAGTCTGACCTGCTTGAGATCCGGACCTGGCTCCACAGAGAACTGATCCCCATCTCTCTGAGCCAGGTAAGTGTTTCTTCTCATTTCTCCTTTTCATTTTCCTTTCTTCTCTTGGTCAGCTACTTGTAGGTAGAAGAGAGAACTGATACCCATCTCTCTGAGCCAGGAAATACAAGCCCCCCCAGTTTGGTCTTAGAATTTCTGATCTAGTGCCCATCTCGACGAGCTTTTTCCTTAAGAACAGTGAAGGGACTCCCATCCCTTACATTTTAGCTAGTCAGAACATGTACATGAGGTATTTTGGCTGGTTGAGCAACCTACATGATGTCATAAGAGTTATTTTAGCTTGAACTAGAAGTCTACATGAGGGGTTTATGCTGGTGTAGCATTTTACATAAGGTGATGTACTAGTCTGCAAGCTAAGGCAAGGTGATGAATATTACATGAGTGGTGTGAGATAGTCTGACAGCTGCAAGGAAGATTAACAAATGACATGACAACCTGAATGATTTCACTTGTAAATCCAGAGTGGTACCAGACCAACACTGCATGTGTCAACTGTCAGAAGATAGTGGAGTGGTGTGTATACATCTACATATAACTAAAAGAATAGGCTCAGAGAGCCAAACAAAGTGTCATGCAATCTAACGCCGGGGTCGACTCCAATTCACATTTGTTGGATTTTTTGACGCCAGCGTTAGACCGAGGCAGACAGGTGTCCAACTCAAGAAATCATTGAGTAAAACCCCCAACATCCGGGGCAAAAACAAGCAGCCTCCCCAAATTTGGGGGCATATACTAGTGTACTATAATGGTTTGAGAGTGTATGCAGTTGTCCTGCAATGTGCATATGTATAGTGTGAGTTATGTAATTTGTTGGTGTTGTTGAGCGTTGAAGTGTTGCCATGGTGGCGAGTTGTGTAATTGAGTGTAGTGATGGTCCAGAGGGTGTAGCTTCCAATCCAGTTGAGTTCCAGTGACGCCTCCAGTGGTGACCAAGGGTGAAATTGAGCGTAGAATCCAGTTCTTGAGCCGTATTGATATGTGAGTGTATATATGAGAAAAAAGGTGTAAAAAGTATGTAATTTGTAATAAAAGAAAAAATTGTAAAATTTTTAAATGGGCCAGATGGCTACCCTTTAGGTATACCACACCGCACCTTCCAGGGCAGGTACGGGTACCTGGGGCTGGTACCTGTGGGTGTTGAGGATTTTTTACTGGCAAATAAACCAAGAAATTTCACCCTTGTATTGATGCATGACTAAATATGTGACTGGAATGGACAATCTATGAAACAAATGAAAACAAACCATTCTTTGGCACCTCATCTTCTCTGTCCTCCTCTCTTTGGCTTCTTCCAATTCTTCAACTTTCACACTTTTTCTTTGTAAAGCTACATCTGCATTCAGCCTTGCTCTCTGCCTTTCTTTCTTTCTTTGTTTTCTATATCCCTCTCTCACATGTTTTATTCCTTCCTTGTTTTGTTCACTCATTCTTCTGAATCATTTTCATCACCATTGCAAAAAAAATAACCCACCAAAGAAAACTTGTTCCCTCTTCATTTTGAAATACCTTTTTTCTTCCTTCTACTCTTATTTTTTGTTTGCACATTCATTTTTTTTCCTTTCCAATCTCTTCATGACCAATTTGCATCACCACAGATTCCACGTATTTTTGTATGTGAAATGTGTATGAATGTGTGTATATTTGAGGACCAATGATCAAACACTTGTATTCTTTTCTCTCATCTTTAAAACAAATCAGCTTCATGCAGGTAATCTATTTCTTATTTCTCCTCAAGTCAATTTATTTTGATGAAAATTCTCAGGTGAACAGGAAACTCATCATACATTATCAGGGCAAGTGTAAGTCAGTTACCTGTCTGTTTTTTCACCCCAAATGTCAACACCCACACCTGCACCCGCACCCAGCACCTGTTTCCGGGTACCTGCTTTGGAAAACAGGTACCTGCAAATGGGCACCAGGTACCTGCTGACATCTCTAATGAGGAGAGACAATGAGTGAGACCAGTGAAAGAGCAGTAGTGGGAAGACGTATAATCTAGATACAAGCATACAAATACTACAACACAGAATTCATCATCTTAACATCACCCCTTGCTGATAACTAAGCTATAAATTCAGCACTGATCCAAAGATAAAAGCAAAATTTGGAGATTGTACTAGACTATAGTAGAATGACCAACAGTAGGCTAAAATAAATTTAGATAGTGTACTCAGAAAAGTAGAAAAATTGACAACAATGAGGTACAGCTACTCATAGATGCCACCTATTTCATCTTCATCATCAAACAATCCAGAGTTGAATCCGCCTAGCTTGTAAATCATTGTGGCACCATGCTTGGTTTTTCCATGGTTCTTCTTTCAGCAATTGGAGGAGCAGTGTCCACATTTTCCACAGTTGGAGCAGGCAAAATGTTTGGCCAAAGCAGCAGCAAAGATGTTGGATTGGTTGGCAACATTGAGATTGACCTTGTGTGCTTCCAAGGCTCCAAAAGTGTTGACTTCCAAGGACATTTTGATTGCTGGGTAAACATTGGAGTCACAAACAGCTGATACAGAGGGATCTAAACTTCCAACAAGTCATTCAGCAATGTGGGTAGCTATCCAATGGAGAAGAGATTGTCCACCGCTACTCTGATACAGCCAATCCACAGTGCAATTGGCTTGTTTGGGTTGTGACAAACAGTCCAGAAATCCTCCTTTAAATGTATGCAACAGGCCCACATTTTCTTCTTGTGGGTATTCACAATTGTATTGAAAATTCAAGAAGCAGGCTTAACCTTCTGGTAGCTTTGCACCAACAAATCCGTCAAGGTGAGTTAAATGTTTGAACAGGCCATTTGGGATAAGGCATCACAATCTTCTTTACTTCATTTTGGATTTTAACCTTTGGAATTGGCCGGAAAAGTATAGCCTGTGACTTCATTTCCTTTGTCTTTGGGATGAGGAAGACTTCCTCTCACAAGGTCAAGAGTGTTTTGCATACCCAGATGGTCCTCAAGGTGTGATTGCCAGAAGGGAAACCCTGCTGCGGTATCATCTAGAGACTTGATTGTGGGGACTAGGGAGGAGATTTTATGTACTTGTTGATAGCCATACATCATTCAGTGTTTGACTATTGTGATTCAGAGTGTTCAACAAGTTTGAATGAGTTCAAAGAATTCAAGCTTTATGAAAATTTGTGAGGGTTGATAAAATTGATATGTATGAGCAAGACTAGGAGCATCTCATAACCTGTTGAGGAGCACAGGGACTGTAACACTGCTATAAGTTGGGACTCACAAAGTGGATCTTGACAGTGAGAATAATAGTTTGTATTAGATGATGAGAGACATTGAGTGAGACTGGTGAAATAGCAGTAGTGGGATACTTGTTAGAAGCATAATCTAGATACAAGCATACAAATACTGCAACACAGAAGTTGTCATCTTAACAATGTACAGGGTGGCTTGTGTCACTTGCTGTCAGCCACAGAGTACATGTCACAGTACCTTTCATGTACCAAGTAACTGCAACACCTGTACTTATGTACATAAGTACTTATCCATAATGTTGTTTACCTTTACCTCATGTTATCTTATCATTATCATTACCTTATCTTATTTATCTTATATTTATCTTATCTGTTACTTACTTATCTATTAAATACATACCTGTTTTATATATAAGTAATTACCACTTACCTTTCACTCCTTTATCCATGAAATACTTGTACCACAAGTTATCCCTGTTCTACAGTATTTTCACGGTAAAATATCATTGAAAATAAATAATTACATGTATTGAATACTGTTTAATAATTAACAGTAGAATTAATACATTCAATGCATGCATTGATCACAATTATGACTACATCATTAGAGGATCTGTCAAGTGCACACATCAAGAGCTGCTAGTACTTTGATCAACTAGTACACAATTAAGATGTCACTTACAGATAATTACAAATAATGATCAGTCACTCAATTGATGTGCTCATTCTCCTGGCCAAAGCTTCATTGATTCTGAGCGCTGATTCTTTCCCTTTTCAAATATTCTGAAACTTACAATCCGTGCCCACTTCACTGATTAATCCCCAGAATATTCAGACACCAGTTAAACACAGTCAACATTTATTTTGATACATTACACGTAACTCAACTTAAATCAAGTCTACTTTTATTGTTCTTAAGCTTCAGTACATTACTCAACTTATCCACAATATTCATAGCCTTGCTGAATATTCCATCAACAATGTTTATTAATCTTCAACTAATTTTGTTAAAGCTTAATATGTATTGTTGGTGTTGAGTTTTTCTCAGTTCCGTCTCTCCCTGACCTTCATCCCTTTCTAGTCATCAAAAATCAGACCAGTTTATAATTATCAAGTAGCTTGTTTTCTGTTGTTATTAAGCCCCTTCAAACCCTAAGTAATTAGCTTTTCTCAACAACTCATGTCTCTACAATGATTTCTGTTGAGTTTTTACTCCGTGAAAGGTGATTCCGCAGCCTGTGTCAGGAAATGAGATTCACAATAATCCAGCTTGCACAACCGGTCAGGGTTAGCTCATCAACTGTTGAAATTCTGGAAGCTTGGAACTCGAATTCCTTAACCATCATTCTCATCGGTTCGCTATCAACTTCAAATATCCGGCTCAACTCCTTTTGTAAATCCTCGCCGCGCTTCTCAACGACAATATCCGAACATTGTAAAGTCCTTGACTACAGATCAACTGACATCATCAATCAACTTATTCTTTTTTTTCTTTTTCTCTGTTCCTTCTTTCTTTTCTTTGTTAGACTTTGTTCAGCTCTGAAAATCCTGCTCTAGGCTCTTGCATATCCATTGCACCGTTGCTTATTCTTCTGCTTGTGTTTGTTGTTTTTCCTTGCCTCGTCTCACTTCCTTTCTCCTCCTCTAAAGTTCTCTGTGTTTGATGTGATTTCGCTAAATCTTCTCCTCCTTCTTTCTAAACCTTGTCTTCCATCTCACAGCTCACTCCGACTCTCCAGTTTCTTCTTACATCTTCTATCAAAATTCCTCAACTTATAATCATCCCATCTGATTAGCGGTATGCCTCAAATTCCACTAACTCATTCAGGCCTTCTTTGTTTTCTAATTTCTCTTGTTTCTCTGCTGCTGTTCATTCTTACTGATTCTGTTGTTCTCTCAGTCTGGTTTTGGTTGTTTTGAAATAAATCCTAAATTCAATAATTTCTTCTCTTTCCTGATCTTTTTGCTTGATTTATTAAAAATTGATTACTCAGAATTAACAACTTTAAATATATGTGGATCATAACATGTTTTTCCTTGATTAACTCATCCGGCTTGACTAAAAGAGACTGAGAAGTAGGGTTGGCGGCGCCACCTTTGAGCTGAGGGCGCCGAGGCGCGCCTTTTCCAAGTCCTCCTGGGCGCGCCGGGGCGCCGGGGCGCCGGGGCTTTTCGGGCTGTATGGGACTTATTGGTGGTTTTGAATTTTTTCTATGCGTTTGGAATATGTATTACTCACTTCCGCCTGTGTTATGGAGGTCCGCGCCGGTCTGATCCTGTTTGGAATCTTGGGCCGGGCGGTTTCGCCTGGGCGGGCCAAAAAAAGGCCTTCAGGTTGCTTTGGAGGGCCGCCAGTAGGCAGCCCTCAGAGCAACCCACACGCGTAGAAAGGCATCACACGGACCCGCCCCGATACAGGGGCGATCCGACCCCAGTGGTACGCACATGGCGCGAGCATAGCGGCACCGGTCAGGGCCGCCGAGAGCACCTTCCCCATCATCTCCCCGAGCGGTCTGGGGGCCTGGGCCCTGGGCTCCTGGGAGGGCGCGCCTAGGGGGGTTTTTGGGCATTTGGGCGCGCCCCCCCCGTCGCACCCCGTCGCCCCGGGGGGCGACAGCGCCCAGGGCGCGCCTCGTGACCGGCGCCGCCAACCCTACTGAGAAGCCCTGTCCAGTTTGTTTCTTCCAAAGACTCATGTTTCTTCCTCTCAGTGTTTTATTCAATATATTTTTTATGATTCATTTACTCTCAACCACATTTTGACACACTTGTATTTAGTCTATGATACTTGTGAATAAAAATCATTGGTTCTTCCACTCTTTTTCTGTGAACCTTTCCCAAAAATAAACCTTTCTTTTTTGGCCCTCTGCCTCTTGAGTTCATCAGCTCAAAATTTCAACAGTTATCCCTTTCCCTTTGGGGAACTAAATCAATCCCAGGTGAGTCCTAGTACCCTGGATGCCTATTAATACACTGTATTGATCCGGATGCACTATTGATAGCAAGCCTTCCAGTAAAGACCATACTGATAGAGTAAAACCTCCTCATTAAAGGACTGGTATTAACACCCACTACTTACAACTCACCTGATCAAAAACACTCAGTCAACTCATAGTAACAACCTTCTCAACAATAAATACTCAGGTTAGTTACCCAGAGGCTGACACTTGTGGCTGGATGCCATGGCAATTAAGCAAGATCAAGACCATGGATAATATATACAAGCTGAAGAAAATCAGGTGATGATTGCATATTGGAGAAGGGAATGAGGACACCACTCCCACTCCCCTTACTCTCACCTTGCCTGGCAATGCTAAGTGGGTGCTAGGTGGGTGAGGAAGGTACCTGCACTGCTGGTGCCAGCCTTCCAGGTACTGACAAAGTCTACCAATTGGAATCCTTAGGGTATGATTACCATCAATAAAAAAGCAATAAAAAAAGAAAAGTAATTAAAAACAGCAATCTCAGTACCAGGTATGCTGCACTATCAAAAGACCTAACATGTCTGACCAAAAGGTGAATGAAATCTGTGACTCTGTGTATTTCTTGACTATGCATATTTGGTTACTGATGCAATTGAGCTGAGCAAGCACTGATCAACCTAGGGAGATTGATTGAAGGATATTATTGAATATGCCAAAATAAATGGAAACAGTTTGAAAATTTGAAACCCTATTTCAGGAGCAGGAATCACATTATTCAAAAAAGAAAGATTTAGGTGAAAAGAAAATGTGTGTTTCTAGAAGAATTTATCCAATTTTTTGGGCTTTTAAACTTCATATTCTGTTTCAGTTTTTTTTATTTCAATTTGAGCCTGCACCCTCATTTTTTTGGAATTTTGAATCAAATTATTTGGCCTTATCTGGGTCTTGATTGATTTTTGGACGGAGAAAGCCTGTTCTTTGCAGAATCTCTGTCTGCTGTTCAATTGATTTAGCACGCCCTTTTGCAATGTTAGATTCTACCTGATCAAGTCTTTCTTGATGGTATGCAGCTTCATCATTTTTTCATAAAGCATAAGTTTAAGATTTTGATACAAAATTATTGAAAATTTGATTGGTTGAAGAAAACTTACTTTTTTCCTTGATTAAAGCCAATAGTTCTTCTTGGCTTAATTTCTTTCCACCTATATCAATTTTTAAATTCCCCAACTGTCAGCTTGCTACTATGGCAGAGACAACCTGTCATAGCAAAATAAAAATAAAATTACATAAAAAATCTAAGAATAAAGTAAAAATATTACATAAGTAAAAGAAACTAATTTACTTATGTAAACAATATAAAAACAATTAAAATATATAAATAACTTAGAAAGAATAAAGAAAAACCTTAATTATTATTACAAATTCTGAATCTACGTACAATTTAACCTAGGGTACCTCAGCCAAAGGTACCCCTAATTGTAACCCCTTCATCCTGTAATACTCACTTAAAGAATTAACAGGTACCCATGGATCACGGGCACCTGAATAATTATGCATTGTACATGACAATATGCATATACTCCAAATCTTGTCTCAGATTTGGAGTGTTGTGTATAGTTTAGAAGATAGACCAGCGTGGCGTGTACTATCTCCAAGCCCGCGTGCCGCGTAGTCATGCTGCGCACTGTTGACAGGCGCGCCTGACTACAAGTGAGCCCAAGGCTTAAGCCCCCGCGCATGCTAGGTACGCATACCCGCCTTGGATACATGCATAACCCCCTCTGGGTTACCAGTATCCAAGGAAATGGGCCACAAAGCCCCAGAAACTCACTGTGCACGTGTCAACAAAGCCCCCACACGTGTAATAAAAATATAAACAAGCTAGAATATTCATGAATACACTACAGTAACTCTGAATATTCCATCTTCCAGCTTGTAGCACGTGTAACAAGCCCCAGAAACCAGTTCTGGCATATTCTGTGGCCCATTTCCTTGGAAATGACACCACGTAACAGACTAGCCCTTGCCCACAGGTTCCCAAGGTATATTCTTGGTTCAAATAAGTTCGTGCATGACCCCTTGGAGCTTCTAGAATATTATCCCCAAGGTTTCAGCCCTTGTTGCGTCACTAAGTGGGCTAAAATGGGCCAAAAAGCGCTCCCAAGTCCTACTAGGCTCCCCTGAGCAACCCCTGAGGCCTTCCACAGGTATTTAAAGGGCCTTCTGACCGCCCAAATAATGATCCCCCAGCTTTACAATACCATATAGAAACATACTTACCATTTACAAGTCCCCTACACTTGTAATTAGCCTAGTTACTACTATTTTTGCTGTTATTAAGCCTCAAGATTCCTCAAGAAACTCCCCAGTGATCACCCAGCACCCAAAATCAACCTTTCTGAGCGCTCCCAACTGTCCTGTTTCAACTTTGAAGATCCTCAAGACCCCATAGGATTATTACTAGTAAGTAATAACCCTTTTCTTGAGATTTTCCCCTTAAATTCTTCCTGGGATTTAAACCACACCTGTTCACAGGCCCCAGTGTTCCAGGTACCTAAATCCTCTGCTTTTGCACGATACCTTAGAGGGATTAAACCACCCCTGATTCATCAGGCCCCTCTGGTTTTATTTATATTAATTTTATTAATATAAATTGGCCATTTTTCCTACTAAATTTACGCCATAAATTCCTTATTTTATTGGAATTTATTCCTTTAGAATTAAAACCAAAAACCTTTAAGCTTTTTGCTTGCTTTTGCACCACGTGTAGCTAGAAGATTATACATCTTGGCATCACGTAGGCTGACACCAACAATTCATTTGTTTGTTTATTTTGTGGGTATAGGGAGGTTTAAAGCGTGCAAATGTTAGTGACAAGAGTGACTGCTTTCCTTATACTCATAATTTAAAGAAAAAAATTGGTGAAGGTAGACATACCACTGGTTGATGGTTCCATCCTCTTATTGAGGTGGTGAATTTGAGTTCCAAAAGCTACACCTTCAATTTCTCTCTTTGCCAGATTTTTTGGATATAAAGTTGGATGTGCTGAGATTAGATAGCAGTTTAAGAGATTGAGCACACATAAAATATTAGATAATTGCATGACTAGGATAGGCTGGAATTGGAAGTTATTTCTTTTTTTCACAGCAGTAAGAATAGCTACAAATTAAGCAGTTGGGATGTGGATGATTGAGAAAATCTAGGAAGGTAAAGCATTCTTATAATCTCAAGAGTTCTGCCAAATGGTGTGGTAATAGCACAGTGCAAGCATGTGTAGACTAGTGTGTGCTTTTCCTCAAAACCAATATAGCAAGTCTACACAATTCAACTGTACATTTTCTAAGTGAGGTAGAATTTTGATTCAATATCAACAAATGAACCTTGGAGATATATATGTATTCAATACAGCCTTCAGAAAATGTGTGTTAAAACATATGCTAAATTGGTTTCCGTTTTTAACCCCACACGTAAAACATACTATTACCTAAAGAGGCAAACCACAAAATCTTCAAAAATTCTTAATTCCAAGTTATTTCAATCATACCTTTAATGTAAAAGTCAAGCAGATACCAGTGTACACACCAACAAATACTTAAAACAATGTTTCACAACCATGACCTGAGCTTGCAGGTGCAGATTGGCAACACTGGTGTGATTGGAAAACATTACAACTCAAATGTAAAGATTTTTTGAGATAAAAGTTGAAGTTTGATCCATCTGTATTTGTACCTGTCTATCTGACTTTTTACCTGTCTATCTAACTTTGTATCTGTCTATCTAACTTTGCACCTGTCCATCTAAATTTGTACAAAGCCTTTCTTGTGGGAGGGCCAGAACATAAATCTTTAAGCTCTAGCAGACATGTACTTCTTGGAAATGTTCATCCAGGACCTACCAAGCTGGTGTGTTAGATTAGCATGAAAATTGAGTTTAAACTCTAATTTGATAGGTGGAAAAGTAATCACTAAGTCCCAAATCCCATCTGAAGTTTCAGTAGTGTTTGCAGACTATGGGAGATAAGAATTTGGAAAGATGTACATTTGTTAATGCACTGTATATACTCACACATCCACATGTAAATTTACAGGATTATAACATTAAACACACCTCAAATAAAGGAGGCCTCCTGGCACCTTTCAAGGGAACATGTGTCAGTTACTAGATAGTGGGAAGACATGGCAATTCAGTCAGTGTACAGCTTGTGAGAGGAAAAATGAAACCAAATGAAAATAAACAATGGGCCATGTAGAAAAATATAGCTTTGAACAATGTGGCACTAACACTGCAAACAAGTCTCAGGTAGCTGAAAGAAGTAGACATGCAGGATACTAAAGAATCAACTTGGTCACCAATACAATTTATCTCTACACAGAGGGCTCTGAACATTAACTGTTTAATTTGCACAGGGAATGTGTATTGAAGTTCAACTGAAGTAAACTTTCAGTAATATTCAAGCAGTAACACTACAAGAAAAAAGTCAGGCAACTGCTTCCAGCTGACATCAGTGTGCTCCAATCAAGCCTGAATGGAAACTAAGTTCATTGTGTTGAAATACTTGATTGGTACTGACCTGTGGCTTCAAAGGGGTGAACCAGAACAATGTATAATGGAAGTCTGAGTTTGCTTCAATTTCAGTGTAGAGTATGATGTGAGCTCTTGCATGTCAACTGCCACCAGTTGCTTGAATTTTTCTTGCATTGCAAGTTTCACCAAAGTCTCTGCATTTCAACTGAAAGCAGTCTACTAAGTTAAGTTTTTGAAGTGTAGGATAA